AGAAGAGAATACTAAACTCAGAGCGTGTGAGGATGAAAGGCCCTGAGGCGAGCAGACATAGAATTTATTAAGTCTCTGCCTTATCCTAAAATGTGAAGATTGTATTTTAATCTTCACTAGAGGTCTATGTTTTCACATTAAAACAGTTTAAAAATTATTTTTGCTGAGTACATTATTTATCGTCCTCAAATTTTGGAATACAGTTGATGTCCCTGGTTTTGCAAATTCCCAAGAGGGTTCTCATGCTAATTCTATGTAATTTTTTTTGTGGTCAGTTTTAAATTCCAAGATGGAGATTATGACTTTATAATAATTATTGCATAGAGCAATTCACTCTACCCTCCCAGTAACGCTATGAAGTAGGTACTATTGGTTCCCTTCATTTTACAGACAAGAAAACAGGCATAAAGATGTTCAACTAGTTGCCCAAAGTTACACAGTTTGTTAATGGTGGAGCCTGGACTTGGCCCCGGGCAGTATGGCTCCCCAGTCTGTGCTCTTAACCTCACTCTGCTGTCTGCCTCTAGAGTTAGTTGACTCAGGTAGACCAACTGAATTTTTTTTTGTCATTGATATGGAATTTTGGTGCTGCTTTTCACAGCCACTACCTGACGCACAGCTTTTTTTGCAATAAACTTTAATGTCATTTACAGATAACTAATTTGTCTAGAGCTCAGGAAGCTCAATGGTTGGGCTTGATGTCTTCCATTACCAAGAACTTGGTCAGCCTCAGTTCTGTGGCCACAGATAGACTCTACCTGATGACTACCAACTTGTCAGCTTCTGAGAGATGCTACACAGGGAGTGCCTCTGATTGGGGTGATCAGTGTCGCTGCTAGAGAGACACTCCATCTGAAGTTTGTCTCACGACTCCAGGTGATGGATCTGTATAAACCATGTAGTTGGGTGTTTTCAAACAATGTGACTCATATACAAAAGATACTGATATTATAGTTGCTGTAGTGCCTTTGCATTATTATTTGGTACTGATGTACTTTGCTTCGAGTTCATTGTGTTTCTTAGCTGTGTAAACAAAAAGCAAACGCCATTTATCATTCACAGTTCTATTTAATGTTTGTGGTTTAACGTTTGCCAGGTATTCCAGTATATAGCCACAGATCACTCTGGGTGACATCGACAACAACAAAGTCTCTGTTTCCTTTCTAAAGCTTCTGTTTCTTTAGTCACTTAAAAAAAAATTTGGATTGGGGCTATGGGCTTACTAGATCCAATGTGGCAAGAGCAACAACAAAAAGTCCCAAAGGAGAACAAACTAATCCATGTCTAAAGAGAAGTTCTTAGTCGTACGACACTAGAAATTAGACCTTCCACACATTCCTGCCTCTGGACCTATTGGCATACCTCCATGGCTGCTCATGGGGTTGTTTTCCTGTACTGCCTCACCAAAGGCTAACCTCTCCATGGCACACTGGGTCCCATCAATCTGTCTCCTAATTGAGGCTCCTGCAATTACCGTGGGTTCCCTAGCATCATCCATTTCTCCCACCCCCACCCCCTTCCGGCCACCGTGCATTTCTCTCTTTTTTTTTTTTAACATCTTTATTGGAGTATAATTGCTTTACAATGATGTGTTAGTTTCTGCTTTATGACAAAGTGAATCAGTTATACATATACATATATCCCTATGTCTCTTCCCTCTTGCGTCTCCCTCCCTCCCGCCATTTCTCTTTGAAAGTGTTGTCTCTGTTTTCTGCGGCGAACACTTCTCCTCCCACGCTCCATTGTCTTCACTCCAGTTAAGCTTTGTGTCCCCACCCACTACCACCCCAAATGGTTCCCATCAAGAGTGCCCAGGACCTCCACATTTCAAATTCATTGTTGAGTCCCCAGTCCTTATCTTATTCAGCCTGCCAGCAGGAGTTGACCCAGCTGCTCCTGCCATCTTCCTGGAAATCATTTCCTTCCCTTGGCTTCCTTGATGCCACACTTGATACTCTGCCTTCCCAGAGGGTGCTCCTTGCCAGTCTTTGCTGATTCCTCCTGGCATCACCCCAACCTCTTCTTATTCAAGTGCCTCTGTCCTCCTACCACTTCTGTGTCTGTCCTCTCTCACAAAGTCAAATTAATCTCTTGGCTTTAAATACCACTTAAATGCTGATGATTTCATCTTGGAACTCTCTGCTCAGTTTCAACTTTTTCTCTGCTTGGATGTCTAATTGGCACCCCAAACCTAGCATGTCTAAAATCCAACTCTTCATCCCCCTCTGCATACCTCCCTACCCCTGCCATACCTAGCTTGCCCCTTTTTGGGAAATGGCAGTTTCATTCTTTCAATTGCCCAGACCAGAAACCCTGGAGTAGCCATTGACGCCTCTCTTTAGCTTATATCCCCCATCAGCAAATCCTATCTGCTCTTCCTTTAAAATATATCCAGAATCTGACCAGTCATCATTATCTCCACTGATAACCACCCAGGCCAAGCCACTGACATCTCATCTGAATTAATCAACTAGGCCCTCTGTTCCACTCATGCCCCAGGGGGTGCCCTTTTAGATTGTTCCACTCTCCTGATCAAAAGCCTCATATGGTTTTTATTTTTCTCAGAGTAAAGACCATGGTCCTTGAAAGATAATGTCCTTGGAAGCTCTATGTGATCTGCTCCCCCCATCCCTGCCCAACTGAATCTGTGTCATCTCCTTCTTTCTCCCTTGCCCATTCTACTGTAGTGACACTGGCCTCTTTGCTGTCCCTGTAACTGACCAGGTATAATCCTACCTCAGCGCCCCTGCACAAGTTCTCTCCTCTGCCTTACCCCCTCATTTGTTGCCTAGATCTCCTTGGAACCCAGTTCTTCCCTTTCTTCAGAACTTTGTTCAAATGCCTACTTGATCTGAGAGGCCTTTATTCACTGATCACTCTAAACAAAATAACAGCCACCTCCAGACTCCTACCCCTGCCTGCACCCCAGGATTGTTTGCCTTTTCTATCCCTCCAGAGATCTCATCACCAGCTAGCATATTTTGCATTTATTTGATTGTCTGTCCTTCTCCTCTGGACTGGAAGCTCCATGAGTTCAGAGACTTTGTCTCCTTTGTTAATTGCTGTATCCCTTGAACGTAGCCCAGTACCTGGAAGTTAGTAGTACTCAATACAAATTTTTTAATGAATGAGTGAATTAATCACCTGAACAAGGTGGTCAGAAACAGGCTATGGGAAATAAAGATTTTCTCAGGCTGGAAGGGGACCTACAGCAGCTACAGTATTTCAGGTGTTCGAAGAGATCCCCTCTACCCATCCCCCATATTTAACCATTTCTAAAATTGGGATGCATATTAGAATGGACAGCCTCTCTCAGGTGCCATCTGCCAGGCGGTGGTCATGATGCAGTTGCTGTTGCCCACGCATTTACAAACTTGGCCATAGCTGTTTACATGGCCAACAATTTAGTTGAGTTGTATTGTTGGTTCTATATATGGCTAAAGGTACCCACCATTTGATATGCTTTCAATAAGATTACACTTATTGTCCTTCAGCAGATGAATGGATAAAGAAGTTGTGTTACACACACATACACACAATGGAATATTACTCAGCCATGAAATGAATGAAATAATGCCATTTGTAGCAACATGAATGGACCTAGAGATTTATCATACTAAGTGAAGAAAGGAAGAGAAAGACATACCATATGATATCACTACAGTGATAATATGTGGAATCTAAAAAGTACAACAAACTAGTGATTATAACAAAAAAGAAACAGACTCACAGATACAGAGAACAAACTAGTGGTTATCAGTGGGAAGAAGGCAGAGGGGAGGGGCAAGATGGGGTAAGGGATTAAGAGATACAAACTACTTTGTATAAAATAAATAAGCTATAAGGATACATTGTGCAGCACAGGGAATATGGCCAGTATTGAAAATAACTATAAATGGAGTATAACCTTTAAAAATTGTGAATCACTATTGCTGTACACCTGAAACTTACATAATATTATACATCAACTATACCTCAAAAAAGAGGTTACACTTATTGAAATAAAATTTTATTGGCACTGAAACAAAATGTTACTGTGTACCCAGAAAGAAAGGCATGAGAACAGCACGGGCTAAATTTGATATTAGTGAAGCAAATGTTCATTGTTGGAGAAATTACTGAAATCCCACATTTTCTTTCAAAGCAACAACTAGAAAAATACAAGTGGTTGAAGCTATGTTATTTGTTGCTGAGATACATGCAGGAGGACTGCCAGTCACACGCCAAGCAGTGTAACTGAAGGCAGGAGAAATCGCCAAATCTCACAGAACAAAGCAATGAAAAGCTAGTTTGACTGTCACTCAGGACTGTGTTTAAGGGATTTTGTCATAGTTAATTGGCAAAGTTTGTTTCTTTCCTAATGGTGCATAAAAGAATGGAGTGTCTTATAATCAACGACATTTCAGGTTGTATGAAATAGACTGGGTCTCCTTTCTAGACCTTAAAACTATAAAACCAATATATAAATCTTTATTTTGTCATCTATAGTTATTAGTTTACATTTTAGATTTTATGATACCAAATTTACTCTTCCATATGCATTAAACAAAGAGGGAGAAGCTTGGCCAGGTACTTGTGTTATGGTTTCTTGGTTTTCCCACTGAATGTTTTTCCCCAGCATTAAGTAGAGAGCTAGCATCATTGGGAATAATTATCCAGAAATGAGTTTTGACTTTGGTTTGTTATGATTAGTTTGAAGATAAATTTTTTTGACAGCTGAAGGTTTCTATTTTTTGACTTTTTCATTTGAAAGAATTACAGGCTCTCAAGAAGTTAGAAATATAATATGGAGAAGGCTCTGAATATCCATCACCCAGCTTTCCCCCATGGTGACATCTCAGTTATCATAACTATAGCATAGCTACGGTTTTTTAAAAGTTTTTATGTTATATTGGAGTATAGTTGATTAACAATGTTGTGTTAGTTTCAGGTGTACAGCAAAGTGATTCAGTTATACATATACATGTATCTATTCTTTTTCAAATTCTTTTCCCATTTAGGTTATTACAGAATACTGAGTAGCGTTCCCTGTACTATACAGTAAGTCCTTGTTGGTTATCTATTTTAAATATAGCAGTGTGCACATGTCAATCCCAAATTCCCAATCTATCCCATCCCCCAAACCTTCCCCGCCCCCTGCCCCATAACCATAAGTTCGTTCTCTAAGTCTGTGTGTTTCTGTTTTGTAAATAAGTTCATTTGTATCCTTTTTTTAAGATTCCCCATATAAGTGATATCATACGATATTTGTGTTTCTCTGTCTAACTTCACTTAGTATGATAATCTCCAGGTCTATCCATGTTGCTGCAAATGGCATATTTTCATTCTTTTAAAAAACTCATGGCTAGAGTTTTTAATGGATCATCTTGTACTCTTCCAATGACCTGTTGGGGCAGGAATAGAGAGGAAAAGTAGCTTTGTCATACTGTACAACAAGCCACCTCACTTTAGGAGGGTTTCTGGTCACCAGAAGTGAGACCGGAGGCAGAGATGTTCTAGAGGGCGTCATACATTGATTGTCACCTCACAGAGGAAGTAATCAGGTTAAACTAATTTGTGACCTAAAACTCTCCAACAGAGGAAGTCGTCATCGATTTGTTTTTGTTTCAGCACAAGTTTCTTTTAAAGAAGTTGTTTTAGAGCGATTTAAAATATTCTACAAAACTCTTGAAATAGAGCAACTTGGAGTTCTAGAATCACAGAGTCGGAAGAGACTTAAGGTCAACCACCCATCGGATAGGGTGACTTCCCCTTTACCATCCCTGCCAGGTTCCTATTCCAGCTCTTCTTAAGGCCTTTCTCTGCTTAGGGCCTCCGTCCAGTTTCCACATGATAGGACTTTTCTTATCCACACCTCAGACAACAGACAGTTACCTTGGTGCTTTCTCTCCTTTCTTCTACTTAAATCAGTCTCTATCCTTTAATCCTGTAGTAGTTTCAGCAATTTCCCTCACTACCCTGCTTACTGCTCCTCCACAGGCTGCAGTGTTTTGAGAGCTTGGCCACATCCTGGAGAGAGGATAATGATGGATCAGATAAATTAGAGAGGGAGCTGAGAGATACATTTTTGGAAAAATAATGACAAAGAGGATTTAGTACCAGATTGGAAACAAAAGCTCGCTATTAAAATCATACTTTTCAAATGAAACGGTGCCCTCCTTTCCTTGTTTCTCTTTCCCATTTCTATTCTTTGTTCACTTTCACAAGCCAGACTTCTAGGGGGTGGTCTGCATTGCGAGGGGTCCCTACACCCCCTCCTCCCCAGCCCGAGCCTCCTACTCACTGTTTTCTGCCTCACTGGCTCCCTTATCTCATCACGTCCCAGCCAAGACCACCACCAGCACTTTCATCTCCACCACTGGCCTTTCCTGGATGCCTGGCTTCCAGGTTTACTTTGGTGCTGTTTTTGGTTTTTCTCCCCTATTGCTAGATGAGAACCAGGTCACCTCAGCATAGTTAGTGACTGATTTACCAAGTCTTAAGTTCACTTACATTTAGCATCAATTATGCTTTTGAAAATTCTTGTTCTCTCCATGGAAAATATCAGAATGGTAACCATCGCGCCCCTAGCCCCACCCCAAACATTTGGTATATTGGGAAGCAGAAAAAGCCCATGCAGAGTACCCCCAAGGACTCTTCTTTTCAGAGGACTCAAACTCTGAGAAGTGATAAGACCTATTTTTCAGGGTCTTCTCCTGCAATTACTACTTAGAACATTTAAAGAAAGAGAAAGAGCTAAAATATTTCTTGACAATTTCTGGACACTTCTTCCCTTGCAACAGACACGGGTCAGGGTGTGAGAAAATTAGATTTGGGAGTATTATTTCTACTGCATAAGAAACGAGAGATTTTAAGTAGGGAGAGTACTGACTTGAAAGTCAAATACCGAGATAGGGAGCCAGGTGGCAGGGAACTTGAGGGCTGGGGGGTAGACAGCCAGTTCATCTAGTCTGAAAGCAGATCTAGCTCACTTTATATGGACCCAATGTTGATATATTTTTGTAGATGATATAAATATTTCTTGACTAAAATCTCCAAAATGTTCCTTTATATAGGCAGATTTGGAGATATGTAAAACTGGGCATACCAATTGTCATCTCTAAAGAGCTCATTATTACAGATGAAAATTTCCAAATTGAGAAACACACAGACGTGGAAAAGTTAAAAGGTTTTGCCTATTCAGAGTGGTCCTGAAAGAGTTTATTTGGCAACCTTATGAAAGGTTGTGCTAGAACAAAAAACACTGTTCCATAAATAGAAATGAACTTTGGAAAACCTGACAGTGTGATAAAGATACTGTTCTCCTTGAGCTCCTGTGTGTAGAATATTCTGAAAGGGTCCTAACTCCATAGGGAGAGTTTGCCTATCTACAGAATATCCATACCCATGTTTAAAAGAAAAAAAACCACCATGGGTAGATAACCCAAAGAACAATGCATTTTAGCTGTTGGTGTAGTAAAAAATGTAAATGTGTCAATAAAGTTCAAAATATGCCCTCTTGACTTCCTAATGCATAGACTTGCCTGGGAGTAGAAAATATTTGGTCATTGGAGCCCTTTCTGTTTAGATAGGCAAATTTTTCCCCATGGTAATATTTATATTCCACAAATTACTAAATAGTTTGGGTTAAAAAATATGGCAGAAAAGGAAGTGCCTTTCTGTAAGTCTGGTTAGATATGTATCCTGACTATAAATAACTGAGCTATGTTCTTATTCTCTATGTAAATTCCAAAAACATAAAAAAACCTGATTTCATATGTTTTGATCCATCCCCTTCTCAATATCACTCCTAATAAATTCTTACACGATGAGGATCCACTTATTTCAGCATAAGGCAGTTCAAAAATTTTGTGTGACAACTTTATTCTCACCAAAGACTATTGTAAAAGGCATGCCCCCTTTTCCCCACGAGTTTGTCATGGCTTTTGCTGCATTCCCATCGGCATGCTCTTAAGAGGTTAAACTCACATCTGAGCGATTGTTTTCATCAACTCAGAATTTTGCTTCCAGTACTCATGGCTTGATAGTGTGTAACCTGGTCTCTACCCAGTATTAGCCACGTTGTTTTCACACTTATCTCTAAGGGCCAAAGATTATCTCACAGAAGCTCCGAAATAATTCCCGGGTCTGCAATGCATGTGTAAAAGGAAATTTTTCAAGGGAAGAGGGCGAGAATGAAGTTCAAACTCTTAAGAATTTTTGTAAAGGATTATATTGATTAACAAAAGCTCTCCGGCATCTTCTGGCAGACATGTGAGAGAAGGCAGTGATTGTAATTAATTTTTAGTGAGTGCCGCATATTTGATAATTGCTCTGATTCACACTATTATATTCCTCTTCCTTCACCCACAGCAAAACAAGCTTAATTTGATTCATACCCTTAGGAAGAAAAAAAAAAAGCCTAAGATTACTCACATGGCTGTGATTCAGCTCTTGGCTCTCACCTCCTCCTCCCTTTCTCCCACCCTGCCCACTCCCATATTCACTCCCACCCAGTGGCGTTGCCATCAAAAAACTGAGTCAGTTCGTTCTTTAAAATGGGTGGGGAAAGAAGACAACTAATAAAAACTTTTCTGAGCGAAGTGTACTGCTTAGATCTGAAATCATTGCAGAAAGACGGGCAGAGTGGCTGCTTATATAATAGGAAAAGCATGGAACAGAGGCAAACTCTCATAAAGAAATGTTGAGTGTCTTATGTAAGTCTAGACATAGTTTGTATGCATGTCGGTAGAAGCACACACATAGCCACATAGGCAGGTTTCTATGAACATTTTCTAATATTGGGAATCTTACCTACACTGTATATGAAACTAATCTTCTGATCTCAAAGTATATTACTTTGGTATAACCAAAAAGTGAATCTCGTAGTTATCCAAAGATTTTCTTTTATCGTAGTTGATTTACAATGTTGTGTTAATTTCTGCTGTACAGCAAAGTGACTCAGTTATACACATATAGACATTCTTTTTCATATTCTTTTCCATTACGGTTTATCACAGGATATTGAATGTAGTTCCCTGTGCTCTACAGTAGGACCTTGTGTATGCCAAAGATTTTTGATCATTGTAAAACATAGGTGAGAAAGTCATTTTGTCAACCTTCAAATGAACAGTGTGATTTAGAAGCCTAAGATTGTTGTTTTCTTACCCACGATGAGTCGTGAGACTGATACTGGGGGTGGCAGCTCCCCCTTAGTAGCTGATGGTGGTGGCAAACATTATGGACGCAGTGATTTCTGTTCCTTCCTCATATTTTCTCAGTTATTCGCATTCTCCAGGTGAAACCAAAGCCTTGGGGAAATGAAGTCACTTTCCCAGGTCCCCACAGATAATAGTCCCAGAGCCAATATCGGAACCCAGGCTGTCTGTCTGCACCCTGACCTGTAGCTCTGGTTTGTGAGACTCCCATACAGTTGGATCATTTGGTATTTTAGAGATTGCCTGGAGAGAGGAGCGTTGGCCGAGAGGAAGCTCTATGCCCGAGCTCCAAACCTGCCTTTAACTGAAACGGGTCTCTGTGCGTCTTCGAACTGACTTCCCGCATGGAGGGGAATGGAATCAAGCCTTCCCCCAAACACTCATTTGTAATCCTAATCACCTTCTCTCCGTTTTGCTGGCTTTCCCCCCATTCTGTTACCATCTGTCTCAGAAACATTGCCTGGATAAAGACAAGTTGGAGCAGTTGCTCGCCCTCCAACAAAACATAGAATTATTTCTCTTTTCCCCCAGAGCAGTGCCGAGCACCATATTTGAGGAGTTCCATATTTATAAAGCTTGCCTGCACCTCGGCGATGTCTGGTTGCTGTCCTTTTTATCATTCTTCAAATATGTTCTATGCTGGCTGGAAATGATTAGCTTTTGTTACTGGAGGGTTTGTGGGATGCTTGAATTTCTTCATATAGTTTTCAGATGGAAATCCATGTAGTTTTCTCCTTTAAGAAATGAGATTGCTTAATGAAAGACAACATGGGAGAGAATGCATGCTGAGGTTTCTTTTCGAATCCCCCCCCCCCCCCCCCCCCCCCCACCCTCACTCCTTGGTTTTCCCTTAGGGTGACTATGGTGAAGTTTTATGTCATGACCCTGTGGAGAGAATAAACAGTGGATCTCAGGTACTTTTTTCTGGATCTGAAACCACTTCCTTACGCCTCTGTTTGGGGGCCCCATGTTGATGTCAAGGGTGGTGCTCCATGCCAACAGGGCTATAGTATTTCCCCCAGTCTTTGACCAAACCTTCTTTGCCTTCTTTCGTGGCCGATGAGTTTCCATGTCTTGACCCATCTGGGCTGACTGTAATGGAAATTCTTCTTGAATGTCCTCCCCAGCTGGCCCCAGCCCGATTCTGCATTGGCTTTCGGAAACTCCAAGAAGTTTGGACAGAAAGGCCCCAACAGATGTCATATGTAAAACCAGACAAGTATTTAAACCACTGAAACTTTGGGAAGGAAAATATGGATTGGCTAGGTGTCTGTCATCGTTAGTGAAATTGTTAAAAAGTGATTCTTTAAGAAAAGTTATGGAATTGTATTTTTCTCACGTAGAAATGTTATTTAGGAACTGACTAAGGTACGTATTACTCTAAAATGATGGTACAAAGGGCAGTTAAAGGGTAGAGATTGGATGATAATGGTAACAGAACAGCCAATCCTTACATAGTACGTACTGTCCATCAGGCAGTGTCCTCTGCACATACATATAATTTTAACCCAGGTGCCACAGCTAGTTTTGGCAGAGCCAGGATTCAAACCACCAGCAAGTCTGGCCCCAGGCTTTAAAAATATATTATAGATTCTTTTAGATGCCAGAGTTTTAGGTATTTGATTTTATTAATATGCTGTTTTCATAGTCTGTGTTTATTTCCATTGAAAGCCATATAATTATAGATTTTAAGGTCTTTATATATTGTAGGAAGGTAACTTTCTTTAAGCCAATAAAATTTTACTCAAAAAAAGTCAATGGCGGGCTTCCCTGGTGGCGCAGTGGTTGAGAGTCCGCCTGCTGATGCAGGGGACACGGGTTCGTGCCCCGGTCCGGGAAGATCCCACATGCCGCGGAGCGGCTGGGCCCGTGAGCCATGGCCGCTGAGCCTGTGCGTCCGGAGCCTGTGCTCCGCAACGGGAGAGGCCACAACAGTGAGGGGCCCGCGTCCCGCAAAAAAACAAAACAAAACAAAACAAAAAAAGTCAGTGGCTAAATTAATACATCCCTGTGGAAGTATGAATAAGTTTTAATATCTGAATGAGAAATATGTGTACATAGTTAACATAGAAATGTTTCATTCGGAAATGCACTTCTAAACTGTTCTGTGTGGATTTAACTTCTGAAAGTCAGTTCTATATGTAAATTTATTGTGGGATTTCTTCCAGTAAAACCCTAAAGGGAATCTTTTTGTGACGTGAATAGTCAGCTCCTGAATTAACTGGATTTCATTGTTTCAGGGTGTATACTTTTTTTCTGCCCTCCTCTACCAATTTGAAAATTAGATATTTGAACATTTTGATATATTACAGAAATAGACTATTTTTTATATTATAACAAAATTAGTTCTCTGTCAAGGCATAATCCACAATAAATGTCAAGCCTTGGTACAAGCAGTTGCTGACTTTGTCAGGGTTAAAGGAAGTATGCTGAAAGGAGATAACTGTAGTTAAACTGCTCAGACCGAGCCTTCCAGATTTTTTGTGTGGGGACTTGCACTTCTTATTACTGCATTCTTCCTGTCTGCGTAATACCTGGGAACAATTTATTCCATGTAATGCCACCCCCATCTTGGTAGTAAACTTTGTTTTACTGAAGAGGAAGACTTTTAGGCATGCCAATTTATTTATCGGAATTTTCTCAGATGACATTTGAAGATTTTCAAGTTTTTATTTTGCAGCTTGTAGGCCAGTTGGGATTAAAGGACAGTACAGATTGTGTGTGTGTGTGTGTGTGTGTGTGTGAGAGAGAGAGAGAGAGAGAGAGAGAGAATGTGATTGTACTGCATGTGTGCTTGTGTGTGAGTGGCTCAAGTTATAATGTGAATTGCAGTAAATGCAAAAGTGAAAGCTGCAACATGGCTCTCATGCCCCTGACCACTTCCTAAAGAACCTGCCACGTGGGCTGCAGACTTAGAGAGTTAAACTTGGGTCCTCAGGATGGAAAGCGTCCGAGTTCCCATGGTAAAAGCCTCCAGTAGACCTAAAATTATAAAACCTGTTTACTGCTGTTCACATGAACTCAAACGTTCGGTTGCCTCAGTTGTAAAAGTTTCAACAAATAATTAGGAAGTTTTAAATATTTGGGAGTAGAACCAGAGCCTTGCCATACCTTCAAAACAGTCTTACAACTTTCTCTTTTACATGGTCCAGTTCTTTGAAACCATTTGGAACGTGCATTGTGATCCTGAAATGTACAAGTTATAAAAGAAAAATGTGAGCTTGTCAGATTAACTACAATCACCAGTCTAATAAAACTGAGTCACATCCAAATGGGCTGCACTTACGCTACCCTCCCATTCTAGGGAAAACGTGGCTGGGGGAGGCAGTCTGAGTCATCACCTGGTTTGTTTGACATACGCTTCCTTCCATAAATTGGGAATGGCAAGCAGCACAATGTTCCAGGCTTGCCTCAGAGGAGGAGCTGTTGCAGCCTTGCACGATCAAAATAGGGCCTTTTAGGTTTGAAGGTTGAAGCTGAGCCCATATTTTGGCTTCAGATGTCGGGGGAGGGGGAAAAACTGACAGACCCAAACAAAGGAAAAATGTAAGTACCATTCTGGGTGGGGGGCAAAGAAATGGTAGGGGTGTTCACAGTTGAATTTTTCCTAAGATATAAAAAAAATTGAGAAATACGTTGGGGGTGTTAAAATAAGTAAATTGGTAGCTAGTTCGCTAAGCGGGGGGCTCATTTACTTAACAAGAATGTTCTTGATGTGAACAGTCCAAAATGATTACATGAGAGAGAAAGAAAGGGGGAGAGACAGATGACTTGGTCGTTACCGTGCAAATTTGTCCTGACCATGTTTAATTTTGCCTGATTTATGCAACCTTTTTGCGAGACGTGTATTTCGTGTAAGGAACTTTTTCACGGCAGACTTTGAATCTCCTTCAGGGGTATTTTGAGGGGCTGAGAAGAGCTGGGGCTCGTGTGTCTCACCCATTTTTCCTCCAGCGGCTTTGCAGAGGCTCACCGGAGCTTTTTAGAATAAAGAAGTTGAGAATGTAAAATTGCTGGGGAGACTGAAGAGGAAGGGGAAGGAGGAGTAGATTTATAGCTGAAGCGGGTTTGTAAGCTCAGCCTCTGCTTTGCGATTATTTTTTAATATGTGCCAGGCATTCCGCTGATTTCCATCCTGGCTTGGTTGTGGCTTTTTGTCTGTCTGTGTGAGGCTAGGGTGTTCCCTGTTTTAAAGCCGGAGTTGTCACAGCCTGGGCGTTTTCTGTTTCGGCTTATGGCTTTTTTTTTTTTTTTTTTCTCTTTTCCTGAATGAGTGTCCTTTGTGTAACCCCAGTAATTCAGAAATCCTGTAGTCATAGGGACTGCCCTGTCATGTGACTTAGGTACTAGGTGCTGCCTGCGATTGGTCAACAGCTAATTGGCGGGTCCCTATAAGAGGTCCCGCTTCGGGCGACCAGCCACTCTCCTGCCTGGGCTGCTGCTCAACAGGGGCGGAGGAGGGGGGGCGACGGGTGTCCAGTGATTCAGCCACATGTGATAGATGACCAAGGGACTACTTCCTTGGGGTCTGCACATCAGTGGAAGATACCCAAACTGGTTGTGGCTGCCTTGATCAAACTCTGGCTCCCTGAACTGGTAACTGTCACTTTAATGTAGCTTACTGATTAAACTCAGAAAAATGCAGCTAAAAATCTTTGCCAGGAACTTGTGTGGACTTACTCCCTGTTCCCTCCCTACCCCCCTTGTTCTTATTCGTTTTGTCACAGGAATGAAATGCAGATAACTCTTTAGAAAACTTTCGTAGGAAAAAAGCGCCTCGTGTGATCTGGAACAAAGACATTTTCTAATCAGATTTATCAAGCTGTGAAGAGGGAGTTTTAGCGAACGGAAGCAGCAGCATTCTGTCACCAGGAAATACTGCTTTATCCAGAATTGGTAAGTGAAAAGTGGCATTGCTCCCTAATAGATATCATATGGTGTGTGTGGGAATTGTAAAATTGTTCACAGACCCCTAACAACTGTGTTGAACCAAAGAACACATAAACAGAGTGAGGAATTCTAAAAAAGGAGCAGCCCAAGAATACAGCATAAAGGCTGAGAAGAAGCCAGGTAATTAACAAAGATGAGCTGAGTGTTACCAGTTAGCCAAATATATGTAATACAACTAGCTTGGCTCCCCGACACCTCGCCACCTTTTTCTTTTTATGAGGGCGAAGAGAATAAAAATGGGTTCTCTGGTAGAGTTGTGGCATTAACACTCCATGGATATAGATTTCCATTTCGTCCGAACAGTATGTGTGATAGATATTTAAAGGGATGTTTTCAGAATTAGTCAACTTGCCCTCCTTTCCGTCCTTCTATACTAGGATGTCAAGAATTTAGTTAGAACTCTACGAAATGATAGTTTAAGTAATGCATTGGAAAAATTTCCTACTGATTGTGAAGGGCAGATTAAGATGGTAACAGATATTTTTTTACACTTGTGTCATGAATTTTAAGACTGTTCTCTTTGATTACATTAGTACGGTAGAAGGGTGGTTTATTTCTACATGGTTCATTTTTGAGAGATGTTTCGAGATATCGTGATTAGCAGTTCTTACTGGTGTGCCTGTGTCTCTCTTTCTCCGGAACCTTAAATTCAGTTTTCTGATCTTAAATCTGAGCTGCCCCTATGTTTAAATTTCCAGAAAAATACAATAATGCTTTGAGTAATTGTGTTTTATATATATATATAATAGGTTCTTGTTCATGAACTGTAAGGAAACACAATTTTATATTAGGCATGAGTGTCTGATTTCTTGATTTGTCTTCTTAAGAATGATTGTGGTGGAAAAGTTGAATAAAATAAGAAAATAAAACTAGAATGGAGGGTGGCTACCTGATTTTATCAGTTTCTTATTGGTCAATAGAAGTAATCATGTGATGTCCACTTATGGAATCAGATGGAAAAATATTTTGTCCTTTAACTGCTAGCAAACATGTAGGTCATTTTGGTGATCTCCCTTTATGAATATGAATATATATAATTAAAACTTAGTGACAGAATTGTAAGGTTAGGGTTATAGAGGATACAATATTATTTATTTACTTTTTAAAGTACATTATTTCAAATTGAGAGATAAATCTGCATTTCTGACTTTGGGTTTTCATTCTGTTTCTTTCAAAAATCTTGAAATCCTTAACTCGAAAGGGGAAAATGTATAATAAAAAACAGGATAGCAGTTCTACAGTTTCTCTTGTTGGCACTAGAGTGAGATGAGGGTGGAGGGGAGGAAGATGAATCTAGTGGGATCTGCTAATTGGTCTTTTTTTCCTGCTTATATACTTTGAGAATTTTTGAGAGCATTTTTCTCAGACTAATAGCTCTCAAGACTTCTGTAGAAGTATTTATTTTCAAAGAAATAGATAAAAAGCAAGGTAAGCATGGCCGTTAAGGGCAGGTCCTCCAATAAATCAGACTGGTGATCCAAACTTGTTAATATTACAAGTTACTTGACTTAATTAAAGTGTGGCTAAGGATATGGAAAAATGCTACTCTTTTTCTTGAAGTACATGGATTTATAGGTTTCAAAGTCTTGAAGACAGAAAAGTGGTAACAAAACATTAAGATATTTACAGGTAATTTATATCTGATTGCTAGTTTGTGTTCAGTGATTCACAATTGTTTTCAGCTCTGTATTTCATGGAAATACTTGGGAGAAACATGGTGATTTAATAATCTGTCTAAACACTGCCATGCTTAATGGAAAAAAGCCTCTATATAATTTTTAGGTTTTACTCATCCATTTAGAAGCCATTGTTTTGAATGACAAAAATATGACAGAAGCAGGTTGAAACAGTAAATGCTAAAAAGTATATTCCAAAAGCATTTCTTTAGATCTTCATGTTTTCAATTCTTTGTGCTCCTCTCTGTTGCAATTTATTAATTTTAAAAAAATACATGTAAAATAAATAAATTCTCTGGGGTTATGGAGAGTCTTGAAAGTTTTGTATACTTTGTTAAAAGACATTAATGGTATGCACATGTCTTTGTCTTTGTGGGCATGTAAAGCTACAAACGGAAGGGACTCAGGTCAAGGGACAGACCTCAGAATAACTTTCTTTAAGTACTATTGATATTTGCAAATCTGGGAATATAAACACTTTCCCTTTGGGCTTGTATTTACATTTTTGGTGTGGTATACAGTTCTGCCCAACTAAATGTTTCGAGGTATGGATATGTATATGTGTATATATTTGATTGGAAGGGGGAACTTTAATCACTAGCGGAACAAGTGGCTGTTTGTCAGAACCTAGATAAGCCTCATAGTGTTGTTCCTATAACAACTGAGGGGTTGGGTGTTGAAATGTAGCTTTAAGTTCTCGGTTTGCAAATGTCATTCAGACCTCCCACTACAGTCTCACTGAGTAGGAGGATAATGAGAAGGGGAAAAAACCATGAAGCAATATAAGTATCTCCGTTCGTTCCATGTCTTCCTGACTTGCCTTTGTGTACCGATCGCCATGGGAGTGGTAAACATAGGTCATGAACAAAGCACTACTTGAGTATAAAATAAGTGGAAAGGGGTCAGAGAAGTTGGGGAAGATAAATAACAACATATGGGGGTAATGAAGAGGCAAGAGAAGTCGGTTTCCATGCGTTTGTGCAAATCCTTTATCCAGTGCTGACCAGCAGTGCAAACATCTTGAACTAGTTATTATATAGCTCTTCAAGAGCTGCAAAGATTTCCTTAAATGCAATGTGGAGAAAATTCCTTCGGTAGCAGGATAGTTTACCACTTTGGCATAACGTTTATTCATCTCCCCTAGATGGACTACAGAGCATCCTGTATTCTTTGAAGGTCCATGTTTTTAAGTCAATTTTTTAAATCATTTAATAGCTTGTCTTTTTTCCATAGGAAAGATAGGGTTGTACTATTAAAATAGTGGTAAAACTTAAGTATATTATCCTGTATTCAAAAGTTACTTTTAAAAACCCTTAAAGATTGTTTGAGACCTGTTGTTTGTGGCAATGAATTGGTTGACTGAGAAGCTTATGGCACTGTATTTGGAGGGAAGGAGGGATTGTTTAGATTATATTTGGCATAGATTAATTATGCAGTTGTGGATTTCCCATGCCTGAAGGGCTTCCTATTTTCTACTCCTAAATGGTTTTGACTGTTTATTTGGTCATTAGCATGTCCAGAAGTTAGAAAGGAAAAGAAGACTTCAGTGGGTTTTGCCCCTTATTTACTATATAGGTCCCCCATCGCTCGCTTCTGAAATCCAAAAAGGTCTGAAAACCAAAAGATTTTAATGTAAAAAATTTGGTAGCAAATCCTGACCTAAACTAACATGAAGCCAGTGTTTATAGTCTTTATTTATCCCAATTAGTAGGATGTTTTTATGTTTTACTGTAGAAATTATTAATGTGTTTGATCATGGAGTGCTGAGTTTTATATAGATAGAATAGTTACCCTATTATCTTTATAAAATCAGCATCATAATAATCAATCTGAGAGTGAGATAAGGGTTTGTAGACCTCTCATTACTGGTATACGTTGAGCTCACATTATATGCCAGGCACTGCTCTAAACGAATCATTGGCATCTAGAACGGTGTCTGGCACATGGCAGATGCTCAGTAGATGTGTTTTGGTATAAAATGCTTTACATATATTAACTTACTTAATCTTCACAAAAACCGAAGAGGGCCAATATGGTTTTTAATCCCCATTTTACATGGAGAAACGAGGTGAAGCAACTTACCCAAAGTGTCCCAGCCAGGAAGCGATAGAGCCAAGATTGGGAAGCAAGCAGTCTGGCTGAAGTTTGCTCTTAATGAGTCTGCTTCAGGTATGAGGGAGGCCTGGAGATGTGGCACTGGAACTCTTGACTGAGTCACAGGGGCGTTTCAGCTGTTTATTCCTAGTCACCCCGCTCCTGGTGTCATCAGACATCACCACCATGGTCATTACCAGGGGCCTGCTGCGAAATGCTTACAACAGGTTCTTCTCGGTGTGGGGGGTGGTGTTCCAGGGCTCTGAGAGGCTCTTTATCTCTTTATAGGCTTCCCAACAGGATCTCCATCAGCAGTCAGCCTGACTTCTTTATCTTGAAAAATGAAGATGCACAAAATAACTCTTTCCTCTGCCCCAAGGAAATGATCTGGAATAGGGGGAAGAGTCTTTCTGGAGACATTTCCTGGGCCCTTAACCCAGCAGGACGTCTGGGCTCTGAGAAGGACACGGGTCACTGCAGAGAGAGTGAACCCCTTGGCGTGGGAGCCACACTGGCCACAGCAAGGGTCCCTGTGGACCTTGTGCTGCATGACCCTGAATCCACAAAAGGATACTTTTGACAATATTTCTCAAAGAAGTGTATAAGATGTCTCTCCAATACCTCTATATTTCTAAGGATAAAAGTTCATTCCAAGCTGATAGCAACCTCCCCATTCTACTTCCCAACTTCCCTATCCCACTATCCTGCTTAATTTTTCTTCTTAGCACTTACCTCTGTCTGACATACTATATGTTTTACTTATTTATTTGTTTGGCGTTTCAGTCAAATACTAGCAGTAATGTTATCTTTGAACAAATGTAAGGGTCCTAGATTTATTTCTCTTTGATCTCCTTATTCAAACTCATTCCCTCCTATCAATCTCAGACTATCATAAATAATGAAATTTTTTCTGCGCATTGGAGTTTTCTTACTGTTAGTTATTTTTATATTCACAACCACGAGAATTTCTTTTTCTTAAACAAACTGTTTCGATTGTGCAATCAGAATTTGGAGAACCCATGCCTTCATTCAGGAGAGGAAACTTAGCCAAATTTGAATATAATCATTGAGTATTTTTAAGATCAAGACAATTTTAAATTACTAAGGAAAACATGCAAAGTAAAATACTTTTGTATCTTATGAAACCTTCAATTTAGATAAGGAACTGGAGAACAATACATAACATTTATTCCAGTGAAAACATCTTAAACTCGCCTACTTGCTATTCTTTTCCTTTGAAAAATTAAAAAAAATTAATATAAAACAATCATTCTACATATTAAAGAATGTAAATGATTTAATCTTGGACATTTCCTGGCTCAAGTTCTTAAATTCTCAACTGTGTAACCTATTGTCTTTCAACCCTATATTTATTCTAGTTTATACATTCCAAAGTAGTTAGGATAATCTAAAATATAAAATTGAAAAATACATAGATATTATTAACTATAAATAATGTGGTTGTATATACATCATTAGAACGCTCATAGAGTTGATTTTCTTTAAATTCTTTTTTTTCTTTAAATTCTTAAAGGGACATATTAGATGCATGTAAAAGTTGAATGTAAAATACTTTTGTTAAGTCAATATAATCGAGACATTTTGTTTTCCTTAGCTATATTTTAATAGCAAAATAGTTTCTAGTTGCTTTCTTTTAAAGGTCAATCTAACAAAGTAATAACTTGCTTAAAAACGAAGTTTAACTGGTTACTTTAAGGTAGAAGTTGGAGTCATTGATTATGAAAAGCAATCTAAGGTTTTATTTTATTTTTTAAATTTATTTAATTTAGTTTTATTTTGGGCTGTGTTGGGTCCTTGTTGCTGTGCGCGGGCTTTCTCTAGTTGCAGTGTGTGGACTTCTCATTGCGGTGGCTTCTCTTTGTTGCAGAGCACGCACGGGCTCTAGGCGCACGGGCTTTAGTAGTTGTGGCTCACGGGCTCTAGAGTGCAGGCTCAGTAGCTGTGGCTCATGGGCTTAATTGCTTCACGGCATGTGGGATCTTCCCGGACCAGGGCTCGAACCCGTGTCCCCTGCATTGGCAGGCAGATTCTTAACCACTACACCACCAGGGAAGTCCCTAAGGTTTTATTTTAAATGATCTTCCTTTTCTGCCTTGGAACAGTTTAATTCTCCTTAAGCACCTGTTTTACTGAAAGCCCATGGCTGGTGGTGGTATTAGAAGAAAGCCTAGTTTTCCCACCTTTTCTTTCTTTTTTTTTTTTTCCCCACCTTTCTTAAAGCAGACGGATAAAGACTTTTCAAATGAAAACCCATTGATTTCTCTCAATTAGTTGTGTGATATATATAAAGTGAGACTAGAGTTCTTAACAATGAGAGAAACTGAGTGAATTTGTACAGGCCCAGCAAAATGTTACAAGGTGCTTTCAAAGTTCTGATTACCTGAAAAAAACCTCCAGACATCCAGACATTTTCCAGTGAGTATCAAGTATGTGACAGTGGTTCATATGACCCCAAGACGGTACCTGTTCACAGCATCCATTGATGTGTTTGCCCCCTAAGAGGCCCAGGCTTTGGAAATAAGTAGACTTGTGCTTTAAGCTCACTTGGCCCCTTGCTAGCTGAGTAAGTTATCCCATTTATGTCCGTAAGCCCCAGAGAGTGGAGCATCGGTATTTAGCTTCCAGGGCTGTGGCATGAGATAACACATGTAAAGCACATACTGTGGTCCCTGGAATAATGGTACTTAACACACTTGAGTTCCTTCCCAGATCCTTTCGGGAACAGACTTCAGTTTAGTCTCAAAGCCTGTGGATCCATTCTAAGCTATATGTTTTTCTTCACACCAGATTAAGCAAAAGAGTGATGATAATGGTGGCTGCCATTTCTGGCACACTTCCCATGTTCTGGGTAGGCACAGTTGTGAGTACTCTACCCACATTGACCTGTTTAATCCTCTTGACAACCCATTGGTGCAATTATTATGCCCATTTCATAGATGAGGACACTAAGGCACAGAGAGGTAAAGGAATGTGCTTAGGGCCACTCAGCTGATAAGCTGTGGGACCAGAATCTATATCCAAACAAGATGTCACCAGTACAGATGGTAAGTACTTCTGGCAGAAAAGCAGAATAAAAGTTGATTGAACTTGAAAGTCTCAGAAATGGTCTTCTCATCTCTATTCTGCGAAGTATCACATCTTCCAGGCCTGGCCCTCTCAATATTGAAATACAAAATTGACTTTTTCTGCCTCTTATTACACAAATCGCTGGGAGCAGTTTTAGTCATTTGTGTTTTATGAGTTTTAATTAGGCCACTGAAGTCCAAGAGGGGAATTCCTTGTTTTCGGTTGATCTTATGCACTAACACATTTACTCATGTAACTTCCCCTATTTTTTTCTCTAATGTTTTCACTTGAAAGTGGGGGTGGAAGGGAGAAGTATGTGAGGGGATGCACTTTCATCCACCTTTCTGGAGATTTTTCTATCGGTATAGCATTCATCCATAGAAAATAAAATGAGTAAGAATCTGTAATTACTAATATTTTCTCCTTTATCTCCATCTCATTCTGGGTGTAATCTAGAGGGGCAGAATTTGTAAGTAAAGAATTATAAGAAGCCATCTATGTGCATAAAGCCCTTTGTTTGGATGAGGAGTTAATTTTCAGAATATAGGAAAGGGGTTTCACCTTGAGAATTTCCTCCTCTTTCAAATACAGGTTAAGAATTTGGTTTAGAAGGCAAGGGCATGTCACCGTAGCCCGTGGGTTCTGAGTGCTTAGAAATCTCTTTAAAAATTCTCTTGGCCTTGGACTGAGCCTGCCCATAGGAGGATATATTAAGCATATCTGTCTTCATTTGTTCATTCATTCATTCATTTATCCGTATTCTCATGTAACTCATTCAACGCCTACCTGCAGACACATGAAAGAAAGGATGGGGTGGAGGGTCCATTAGGGGAAGGAAGGAGGAGTAACTACCAACTCACTCTTTGTTCCTTTCACCTTAGTGACTACATCTTTTATTTGATCCTTTGCCATCTTGGAGGCAAGGCACATTTCACAGACTGACATTCATTAAAGACTTTAAGCATCTTCCTTTGGCAGCCGGACTTCTTTTTTCTTTTTAAAGTAAGGGGGAAAAAAGGGCTCATGACAGGAAAATAATGCAGAGAAGTGGTTTTTCTTTCTTTTTTTAATGGTGGTGGAAGAAGGGCTCATAGTAAGGAATCTGTCAATAAGTCCGGTCTAAGAATTCCCCCAAGCTTTTGACTCATTTCTCTGAAGAAAATTAAGAGACAACAAAGGCCTCCACAATGATGTCTTGGAAAATCATTTTTAAATAGAATTTAAGCCAATTTGGAGGGTAAAAAGTCCTGTTCTGCCCTCGATTAAATTTATTATGAGTTTTTGAAAATATCTCCAAGTAAAGGTGGGAAAAATGAGGGATACCCACTCTTTGGGGGAGACGAGGTTAGGGAGGAGGGTTTATACTACTAACTCTTCAAGAAGTGTTACTTGGTACCATGCTGCAGTTAGGAATATTATTCCTCAAGGCAGACAGGGTCATCATCTTTATATGTGATTTAAACTTGGGTGTTATTTTGCATAGTTTTTGAAAAACACATAACTAACCATTCAAACTCTTTGTAATGGCACAAACTTTGTCTGTGTGTTTTCTGATACAGGTTTGGCCACAGCAACAAAGGCGATGAAAATGCTTTATATCTTTTAGCATGAAATGCGAAGTCTACATCAACAGTAGGTATATACGGCCCCATGGAAGGAAATGTGAATGTAAATTTAAAAACAAAATCATTCAACCTCTAAAAGGATGGCTCCTGATCTCAGGGTTCTTTCTCTCTGAGCTAGATCAAGTAAGGACTGTTGGTGACAAGTTAGGTTGATAAAGATAGTAAATTTCTACCTTTTCTGAAAGCTTCTCCTGTATCTTCTACCCTTGGGTAGCAGGGAGAGTATAAAGAAACTGTTCTTTCTTCCCCAACCCCGGCCTAATTTCTCTTCACACTGGGGAAATGAGCACTCTCCTATAGCTCCTGTCCACCTGGCCCTTTAAGTATGGGGTATTTGATAAGATGTTAACAAAAAGTGTCCCAGGTGCCAACCAGACCTCATAAGCTTGTAGCAGAACAATTGGCAAAGCTGTCAAGTGGGAAATGTTCACTTTACAAAAATGTATTGCATACCTACTGCATGCCAGATGGTGTTCCTAGTTTGGGAATACAGCAGTGCACAAGGTCCCTGATTGCATGGAGGGGGCAGGCTGACAGTGATTGAACAAATAAGTAGATGCCAGGCGTTAGAAGGTGCTAGAGAGAAAAATAAAACCTGGTCCAACAGAGAGGTCGTCCCCAGGGGCCCAGGAAAGAGCTGCTTTATCTAGGGCTGACAGGAAAGTCCTCTCTGATGTTGTGATATTTGTGCAGAGGTTTACCTGTGGGAAAGCAGTCGATGAGGTCTGGGAGGTAGTGAATTGCAGATTGCGTAGGGCCCTGTTGGCCATAGTAAGAAGCTGCTAGAAGGTGGGAGACGATAACAGAAGAGAAGGAGGATGGTGTTCCAAAGGGACAGGTGATTTCTGCAGGGAACCTGGGGAGTCCAGCCCATTGTGCCTCATGATCAGAGTGTGTACAAGTTGTGCAGGGCACTCTTTTGGGAAAATGCTACTTTTTTCATTTAAATTATGGTGATACGAAAACCTTTGTAAAGAAAGATAAAGTTGAGCTATCAACTCCTTATCAGCTAAAGATCCAAAAGTGGATAATTTTTTCCTGTCGTATCTATTCCTCAGAGGCGTGGGGTTACTCAGTTTTCTCGCAGTGGGATGCTTCGATTCTATTTATACTTGCCCCAAGCACACTTTTGATGGGGCGTGTCTTTGCCGATTTTACACTCGGTGAGAAATAGCTCAGACTTTTGGACTGTGTGGATTTTAAGTAATTCTGTGTTCAAAATGGTTTTTGTAGCCCCTAGTTTTCTGTTCAATCAATTCATAGTTTCCGTCTTAGAATTCTGTATGAAAATTTATTGTTTGATACGGGTTAAAAAGTCGTGTCACACAGTGCTCATTTTCACAGTTGGAGGCAGAAGGGGATCATGGGAAAATAAAAGCAGTTGACCAGTTGGGAAGAAAACACTTTTGCAGTTTCTTAAAGATAGAGTTGATTGGTGTAAATGAATTGCAGCCCCTTGTCATTCTCTTACTCTCATAATCTGATATTAAAAGTCCTACATTTTGTATAAGGTAGGTATAATTTCTGTTATCTGGGAGTTTACATGTTAAGAGACATGGCCTCAGTGAGGTGAGACATAAAATGTATATATAGGTCATTTTATTAACCTTGGACCATGTCACCAGGCCTGATAACAACCAGGGCTTAGCCAGGGACTTGGTAGCGCTCTTTGGAGGTATGGTCCAGGTTTATCTTACTTTACATCACCTGAGACTTCCCATCTAACTTTTATCACCTAGCCTGACCTAGCCTGACTAGTTAGTTATGCATTTGGGTTAACATTCATATTCTTTTAGCCAGGGACCCACCTGCAGAAAAGAGTTATTGCTTTTGTCATTTATAGTTTAGTTCAACTGGACCGGATTTCCTTACCTCCTCTGGCTGAAACTGACTGAGAGAATGACGGTTTCACTTGTGGGGAGGAGAAATCAGTACCTTGGGAACATAGATTGTTTTGTGGAGGAGGGCCTAGTTTGCTCCTTTCCATCTTCCCCCTAAGGTAGGAACTCTGCACTGAGAGAGGGAGTGAGAGTTGGCACATCATGAGGAAGCTGACACACTTGGATGAACCGCGTTGGGAGCTGTAGAAACGGATAACGAAGGATGTCGGGGAGCCTCAGGGTACTGGCAAATCTCTTTGGTCCTAAGCCCTGGTGTCCCCGGGCTCTGGCCTGACTTCTTTCTGGCATCCCTGATAGGATGTCCATTTTTGCTCATCTCCTGGGAGATGAGGGGCATGTTCCTGACTTCCCGAGCAAGGAATTCAGGAATGGGCATTCAAGACGCCATCTCCTCGCCAAATCCTCCTGCATACATCTCTCTCAACTGAATCTACTTTCTAGGTGGACTATGGAGAGCTAGACATTAAGGTTCCTTTTCTATCAGCCTATGACTTCTAGCTTTGAGGGAAGCACATATATTGCCCATGAAGTCATGTGTTCTGTTCGGTCCTTCCTCTCAGGCTGGTCACGTCTCATGGTCTCCCAGGGCTTGAGCCGTTTTGCCCCATGCATCCTGGGATTTCCCCCTTTCTTCCCCCATATAAATAGGCAATTTGTTGCCTGTGTTCTAAGACCTTGCTATTTCTGCTTTTGACTGGAGTCTATTCTGGTACGATTGTGTGGTAGCTGGGCACTGCAAAATGAGTCAGTTCCTGCAGTTTGGTTACAAGTTCTCAAAAAGTATTTCAGAATGTGGATGTGGTCAGCAGAGTCATTTTCCAGGCATCTAAAAGGAAACCCACATCAACTGTAACAATTGAACTGCGAACCGATGGCCCTGCACAGCAGAACTGGGCCTGCTTTTCCTCAAAGGAAAGCCCGTAGCAGCCCTCAAATCCAGCCTGCTCTACAGATCTTAAAGGAGAATTCTTCTTCATGCTTGCAAAACACATTTTAGCTGTGACTGTTTGCGCAAGCAACGTGACAGAGGTTTTGGCCTTCGTCACTTTTTGAATGTAGGCACACGTCTGACATAAAAAAAGTATTTTTGGAAAATGGGATCTTATGGGATTAGAATATAATTAGTACAAAGTGTGAAATGTGGTTTAGAGACAGAAACTTTGGTGATTTTCAGCTAATGCACTGAGGAAGAACTAAGATGGTTTAGGTACTAGTAGAATACATGGAAATATAATTACTTTTTTACTAAGTTCAGAACTTGTGTAGACTTAGCAGCAATAGTGATAAAAAAATAAAGTTCTTTTCAAGCTTTAGAAGAATTCCAAGTTTGTCATAACATTTAGAGAATATTTTAGTTCAGCATAGGTTTTAGGAAATAGTCATTGTGAAGCTTTTATCCTCTTGGGTACCCATGAATTATGTAAAATTTTGATTGAGTTCTTAGTTACCAGTCTTGTACCACCTGTTAAAAAAAACTGGGGTTTTTAATAATTAGAAAACAAACAACATAGAAAAAGTGGACAAATGGTTTGAACAAACACTTCACTAAAGAAGATATATAAATGACAAATATGCACATTAAGAGATGCTCAACATCGTTAGTCATTAGGAAAATGCAAATGAAAAAGACAGTGAGATACCACTACACACCTATTTGAATGGCTGCAGTTAAAAAGCCTGACTATACCAAGTGCTGACAAGGTTTTGGAGGATCTAGAACCCTCATAATACATGCAGGTCAGTGTAAAATGGTACAAACATCTTGCAAGACAGTTTGGCAGTTTCTTAAAATGTTAAACATACACCTACCATTTGATCCAGATATTCCACTCCTAGGGAAAAGAAAGCATGTGTCCCTATGAAGACTTGTACATGAATGTTTACAGCAGTTTTGTAAGTAATAGCTAAAAACTGGAAATAACCCTAATGTCCACCAGCAGGTGAATGGATCAATCAATTGTGGTGTATCCATATGATGGGTTGTACTCAGTAATGAAGAGGAGTGAATTACTGATATAGTGAACAACACAGATGACCCTACACTAAGTGAAAAAAGCCAGACCCCCCCAAAAAAAGTACATACTGTATGATTCCATTTATATAAAATTCTAGAAAATGCTAAGCAATCTATAGTGACAGAAAGCAGATCGGTGGTTGCTTGGAGTGGGGGAGCTGTGAGGGGGCAGGTGGGAGTGATTACAAAAGGGTGTGAGGAAACTTTGGAGCTGGTGGATAATTTCACTATCTTGATGGTGGTGATGGTTTCATTGGTGCATATGTATGCCAAAACTTATCAAATTGTACACTTTAAATATGTGCAATTTATTGTGTTAGTTCTTAATTTAAAAAAAAAAAACCTTAAAAAAATGAGCAATCATTTTTATAGATGGAGGGGTTTAAAAATGCCCTTATTTGGCAAAATAAAAGCTTAGCCTCTCTTAGGAGAAAAAAAAACTGATGAAGTTTTAATGGTTTGGGGATAGAAATATAACCAAACTTTGAGAAACCAAAGTTAAACTGTAATAATTGCCATCGCTTCAGTTCCTCCTGTTTACAAGGTTTTGAAGCAAGTGGCTCAGAAAGTATCTGCTCCAGCCCTGGTTTATTAGCATTTGCACTTAAACACAGCTACTGTAGCACTCACTGTACGATGGGGGCTAAAACATCTGAAGCAGGGTTCAGATTACAAAGACATGAAAACGCTACCATCGTATTCTACCACTGTGAGAAAAATAAAATCTCTTCTATTTGCAGAATGCATGAAAATTGGTAAAGTACTTTAATAAGCCTCATTTTGTGGGGTCATCTCAATGATCCCGTTATAGGTAGGGTAAGTATTATCCTCATTTGCGTGGGGAGCAAACTGAGACCCAGTGAAGCCAAGCTGTTTGCCTGGATCACAGAGCCCCCTTCTTCTTAGGCAGAGGTCACCATTCTCCCCATGGCACCTTGCTGCTTCCCCCAAACTCATGTCATTGAGTATTTGGCCTGGACTTTTTGCTCATCAATTTGTCAAGCAGTTACTAGAGTCCCTTCTATTTGTGTATGAGGTGTTCATGGCAATGATCCCCTCTAATCCTGTTTCGCCATCTGTAAATAGATAATA